CAAATTTATTAGAGCATAAGCTGTCGTGGGCTACAGCCCACTTCTTCGGATGCATATATGCATGTAGCCCACGACAGCTTATGCTCTAATAAATTTGTTAGTCTCTAAGGTGCCACAAGTACTCCTGTTCTTTTTGCGGGTACAGACTAACACGGCTGCTACTCTGAAATCCATTTACGAGCCTCCAAGACCTAAGAACTATTTTATTCAGGGAGTACCCTTCGAAAGGAAGGCAGAGGCACGTCATGTGAATCAAAGGGTCTAAGGAGAATGGTTAACTATTGTTAATTACAACAAACAACAACAAAACAAACAAATACACCGCCACCACAACACAAGTCAAGTGTTCTGGTGGTTTTTGTGATGACTGCCTTCCCCGCACTCCACCAAACAACCATCAGGTGACTACACTTTCGGGTTACCGCTTTTATTTATGATGGATTAAAGCCAGTTTCTTTCAAATGCATGTCATTGTAGAAGGGAAAAATTCCAGCACATCAGGATATAAAGGAAGGGACTCCATAAATAATGATTTGCATCCTCCACCTGAGAATTGTCCAGATTTCTAATGTTTGTATAGGGCCAGCCCACATGTACAATTCCTTACCCGGAAATCAGAGTTTCCCCTCTGAATTTCCGCCCCAGAGAGCTTGGTTTCCAATCACTTCTTTTATTAAGAGTGACTCTGTTTTCGGCACGTATCAACGTACGGATCGTTCAGTCACCAGCTGAAGGGTTTTGATTCCTCTAAAAAAAAAAAAAAAAAAAAAACCCAAACAGTTGCTTGTTAAACCAATCGAAACATTTTCTTCTACAACCCTTCCCGAGCGTCCCGTTTGGCCGGAGTGCAGAATACAGGACAGCCTAGTTACCCTACGTGTCTCAACCTATTTCTCTTGGTTTATCCATGTCCAGGCGCCCCATCCCTCCTGCCCACACGCCAGTGTTAGTGTTCGCAGCTTGGATTGCTGAGAAGACCTCTAGGAATAAAGCTGGCAGAGGATGGGCGCACCATAGGTTCGCACTTTTGTCCTCTTGAGTCAATCTAAGGTGCCACAAGTACTCCTGTTCTTTCTCCGTCCTAAGGAAGCGACTATCATCTGTCTGTCTCCCGCCCCCCCCGCATCCTAAAGAGACCGGCTGGCTCGGGAAGCCTTTGATCACCGGAGACCAACCTCCATCCACCCCCGGGGCGTCTGGCCTCTGCGCTCCCAGTATAAAGAGGAGCGTGGTGAGGCGGCCTCGTGGAAGGGGAACCCAAACACGCTGGTCTCTCCAGCCCTCTCAGCTACAGGAGCGCTGCGCACGTTGGGCGGAGCCCCATGGATCTCTATCCCACCCAAAATGCAGCCCACAGGGGGGGCCTTGCCCCGCCGGAGAGCCGCTTCCCCAGCGCCTTCTGCACAGGTAGGTCCTACTAACTCTGTACGCATCGGATCCTCGCTGCGCCCCAACTCTAGCTCGGCATAGGCACGCGTGGCTAACTTGCATTGTGTCTCTGCAGACAGGAGTGAAGTGGCCGGAGGTGGCTGCCCTTCCCTATCCCAGGATCTCAGCCCGCCCGCCTCGGCCACTGTGGCCGCTGCCTTGCCTGCCCCGTTCCCCCCGGACGCGGCTGAGCTGGTGCCGTCCATCTCCCAGCGCAGGAAAAGGACTAACTTCACCACGGCTCAGCTGGAGACGCTGGAGCTGGTCTTCAACGACACCATGTACCCCGATATCTACCTGCGGGAGAAGCTGGCCGACATGACCCAGATCCCGGAGTCCAGGATCCAGGTGAGTGGGAGACTAGGGCTCTCGTGTCATTTGTAAGGGTGAGGCCAGGATCCCCCAAACTGCCCGTCTCCAAACTCCCCAGCCACTTCGTGTGCGCACTTCCTTGCCTGGCCTTACCACACAGGACGCGCTCTTGGCCTCGGTCCTCCGCCTCGAGCACTGGGACGCTGCTCCCTTCTAAGAATGGAATAAAATCGCTCGATCATTAGACATCAGGCCAAACCCCGCTGGTTTAACGTCTCTACCTAACCCCTCCGATAACCAGCTCTTTGCAGCGGCGAACATGTTTATTCTATGGGCCTGATCCTGCCAGCTCGCAATCACAGCTCACTAGGGTTCATAACACAGCATGGTGACACGTGTCCACATCCCTACGGCTCATATCTGATCTCTTCCCAGGTCTGGTTCCAGAACAGACGTGCCAAATCCCGGCGGCAGCGAGGGAAACCTTGCAGCAGTCCAGCAGCTGCGGAGCCTTTCCCTAGCCACAAGGCTCCTGGCAAAAATGCATATCCACCGGTGGGCATTCAGCAGCACACATCAAACACGGAGCAGCACAATTACTTCCAAGCCCCCGTGGGCCCTTCAGGGGTTGCCTACGCTAACCAGCCTCACTTTCCCAGCAATCATTCAAGCACTAGCGTAAAGGCTCCGGAGGATCATCAACCTCATTACGCGCTGTCGGGAGTAGCCCAGATCATTCAGATAAAAGAGGAAAACGCGGGACCCTACAAGTGGCCCTCCAAAATGCCCTTCCAGCCTGGGCTTGGGGTGGATTTTGAGAGTGTCCCTCCGAATAGGACTATCGGACCTGAAATGAATTTTCTAGTGCCCTCCCTGCCCCTTTCAGCCGGTGCGAGTAGACATGGCGGTATGGGGAAGCTGTGTGGTCCTCACGCCCAAACGCCCCAGATTATGTGTGGACAATATTCGCCCGTCTCTGATGCAGAAGACACCAGCGGCTATTCCGAGTCCGGTTCAGAGTGGGAGGAGAGCACCTTAACTGCCTTCAGAGGAATCTGAAGAAACCATTCAAGATCCGCGCGGGGGTTGGGGGAAGGCAAAAGGAAATATGTTTAAAAGTCAATTTTTAAGCAACGTTTTGTAATCCTAGAGTTTTAAAAACGGCGAATTTGTATCTTTTAGAGTGATAAAAATGTCTTGTAAGTCACAGGTCCCTTATGAAAAAGGCATTTATTTGTGAGCTCAGGTGTCTGGCAAACAAAACTGCTCACCTGGTCTAATTTTAATCAGTCAGACAACCGCCACCTAAGCAAAACTATTTTACTCAGGAAAGGGAGACATGGCAAGAATTAAGTCCGTGCTCGTGCCTGTGAAACAAGTAGAAAGCAATTTCTTAGTTTCCTTATTTTTAAATAACTTACAGATAAACAACACTTGTTTGGTTTTTTGACTTGTAGCCTAATAGGCAAAGGGGAGTGACTCGCACAACTCCGTATCTTGTTTACACAAAGCCACTGAGAACGCCACTGGTGAAGAGGGAAGCTGGAGGTTACCGTAATCCTAGAACTGGTACAATTCCCTCTCACCTCTCTTCCTAAAAGTTTCCTAGCAGCCGTTGAATAACATGTTGCAGAATGCCTGTCTTTCACTGAACCCTAAGAGGTTCCTAAAACTCCTTGCTGCCAGGCGGGAGGGAGTGAGTCACACCCAGGATCACTGGTTTGTGTAATAGATACATGGATGTACTGAGCCACTGAAAGCTTCTAAGCGTCTTCGTAGATCGCTGCACTGTAATTTAATCACAATGTTTTAGAATTGCACTATTGAGAGCCATATAAGAATATGACTGCCTCGTTTTGTGTCAATATGACTACAGCTGTGTGTGGGGTAGGGTTAGAAAGGCAAACAGTATTGAAGAGAAAGTACCATATGCAAGGTTATCTCCTCAGTGTAATTAAATGAAGCTTAGTCTTAAATGTGTAAGATTTTAGATTATTTCATAGTTAAGATTATACCCAATATCAACAAATTTAGGAGTGTACAGAAGACCCAATATTTCTGGGCGGTTCCACCCTCTTCCCCCCCCCCCCCTTAAGATACATACAAGTGTGTATAACAGAAATTACCATGATGAATACAAAACTGTTCGCTAGCTTGAGGATGAAATTAAGTGCAATAGTAAAACTTTATTTTATCTATTTATTTTAAGTAAGGTACATGGGGCTTGTAAAACTACCATTGGATGAAAATACAGCTCGGCTTTTAAAATAAGAACAGACTGATACTCAGTTGACCTAGCAATGAAGTTTAAAAAAAAACAAAACACCCCACACTAGCCAGTTTAACTCCTAGTTTATTTATTTTTGCATCTTTATTTAACCTTCTGTAGAAGGATTAGGAAACGCCTGGAACTATGTTTTGGAAAACCTGTGACATTTTTTTAGAAGAATAAATAAATAAATTTGTTATACTTGCTTTTCCTTATGTGCCATTTTCTAAATTCCTGAAGGCAGGGATCAACTCCTTCACTATGTTGCATTTCTAGTGTAGAGCAGACTCAGACAAAGGGGAGAGGTACTGGAGTATCCAATCTGCAGCTTCTGTTGCTAAATCAGGTCAAGAAACCTGTTTTGATAAATTGCAGCTCAAGATTGAATTAGAGAGCAGGTTTGAACAATAGTCAACAAAACGTGTTAATTTACCTCTGAGTCATAATTTGATTAGCACAGATGTTGCTGGGGGGTCAGGGGTGGGGAGGGAGAATGTAAATCCTAACTGCCCTTCTAGCAGTGTGCAAAAAAAAAAAAAAGTTTGAAACTTTGATTGAGCCAGCAAACTATCTAAATCTAACGTGCCCTACCACCCCATGAATTAGGTTAGATGTTAACCAAAACCACATAAAAATACATCAGAATCTTTCTTCAGTTAGTGTCCTCTTAACGGGGTGGATAGTAAACTTTCTTTGAAAGGCTCTATACAATTCCTCTTCAGAAGGCTCCAACCTCTTGCGAATACTTAAACACAGATTTAGCTAAATTTTAAGCATCTGAATAGTCCCATTTACTCCAATAGTGCTATTCGCCTGCTTTCATGTGACTATAATTTTCAGATTTAGTGTCTTGGAACCTAAACTGGGGTTCAACTAATATGGGGAAAATTCCCACAGGTAAAAAGCCAGTGTAAACTGAACCTATGCTTAAAGCAAAATCTAAGTTTAAAATGTTAAACATTAGAATATCTCCAATAATTAATGCAGATTTCCCATAACAGATCTGTAATAGCAGCTAGCTAGGTCAACCACCAACTGTTCCTGTTACCTCAGATGAGGTGACTGGGAATTTTGTCACCTGTCTTTCCTCCAAACTGGCCTGGGGAAGCTTTTCAAAAGTGAAAGAAAACTCCAGGATCACATAACATTACTTCTGCTACATTCCCCACCCAAATCATATCTTGGTCTATGGCAGGCAGGGGTGGCCAAACTTACTGGCCCTCTGAGCTGCATACACCAATCTTCAGAAGTTTGAGAGCTGGGGCTTGGGACTTAAGCCCTGCAGGAGATGCCTGATGGGGTTTGGGGTTTCAGCCCTGCTGCTGTTGAAGCCTCACACCCTGGCAGGTGCACCCTGTTGGGCTGAAGCCCTGAAACAACGCCCCCTACCCACTGGGCAGAAGCCCCTACCCCACCCCCTGCTGCAAGGCAGAGGTACCAAGCTCCCCCTTCAGTCTAAGAGGTGGAGAATTGGGGCGGGGGAGGGACCTCCACTAGCTGCATTCTAATGATAAAAGAGCCGCATGAGCCACAGTTTGGCCACCCCTGGCCTAGGGTGACTGTGCACAAGGTTCATTTTCGGCTGGAATGAGGAATAAAGGAAGGGCTAGATTCTCTTTTGCACTCTGTCCCCTTTGCTTTGCCACCACTCTTTTGGCACAAAGAGGCCTTGATGACCCTCTTGTGGAGGAACCCCTAATGACTCTGTTGCCAGTGTAGATAGCTCCTATGGCAATCCCATTCTTGGACCAAGGGGAGGCATGCTACATTAAAAAAAGAAACCCTGGAGGGCTGATGACTCTTTGGGAACTATTGCTAGGTGGCATAGTTTAGAGGCCCCTGGGTTGCTCTAAACTACACTGAGGTTGGGGCTAGCATAGAACTAGAGAGGGAATCAAGAAGTCACAATTGTCTCTGATGACTCCCTTGCTCCTCTGCTGTGACATGTGGTAGTCCTGCTAAACAGAGAACCAGGGTCTACATTTTTAAGTGACTTGCCAAAGGCTACACATGCAGGTGGTGGCAGAGTTAGTAACACCTCCTGAGAAATCAGTTCTAAGATCCATAATTATCAACTAGACCATGGTGCTGCTTGTGCAACAACTTCAAATCTCTGTACCTAATTAGGCCAAATTAAAATAATAATGCTTACCTTTCTAATGTACTCTGAAATCTACAGCTGGAAAAGCCGTGTGTAAATACAGAGCATTATTAGAGATATTGGTTGAGGGGGTTACTAAGGAATTGTTTACATAGGTAATTTGTCCTGGCTGTAGCCATTGATGGCCAGCCGCCAGAGTAGCTGTGCTATGTAAATGATTACAGATTCCTTGGCCAAAGGGACATCTGCGATCATCTGCTCTTTCTGTATAACAGCCCATAGAACTTCCCTGGAATATACTCTGGTTCAAACAGGAATTAGCTTTTAGAAAAACATTCAATCTTGATTTAAAAAAAAAAATTGCCAGTTGAGGCTACACAGGTAAAGCTACTATAAACAGCAATTTACAATGGTACAACTTACCCCAGTTTCAAGCAGGGGTAAACCTCCTGGGTAAAAATTGTGGCTTATAGCATCTACTCTAAGAGATTTTTACTGGCTGTTCATGGCTGGAAACCAGTATGGACCAAGGCCTGAGTTCCACAGTAACATGCTTTGTACAGTGTACACTGAATGAGGCAGGTCTCTTTAGGAGCCATTAGTAGTTTGGGCAACAGAGCTAATTCAATTTAGTAATCTTATAACATATGCATTCCATCTATTTGAAATGGTCTTCATTTACTTACCTAGCAGGAGAAAATGAAGGATGTCAAAAAAATCTGCGGAAATTCCAGAATCAATGAACTTTGTTTAAAATACCAGTAACAATTGCTAAGTGACAATATTATAGTAATGTATCACATCATTTAGAAACCCCAGGCACTTAAAAGTAATTAAATGAATAGGTAAAGACATCATTAAACTTGTACTTCCCACATAAGACTGGTGTGTGTTTTATTAAGTACACCTCTACCTCGATATAACGCTGTCCTCGGGAGCTAAAAAAATCTTACCGCATTATAGGTGAAACCGTGTTATATTGAACTTGCTTTGATCCACCGGAGTGCGCAGCCCCGCCTCTCCGGAGCACTGCTTTACTGTGTTATATCCAAATTTGTGTTATATCGGGTCACGTTATATCAGGGTAGAGGTGTATAAAGAAATGGAAGATTTCTTACCCAATCATTTCTTTCTAGTAGTAGTATCCCCTAGAATCCATAATGAATGGACTAAGCCTTTTTCCTGCAGAATTCTGAGGTTTTGTTGTCAGAGGCTCCAGGAATAAAATCTGTCCCTCCCTTCCTGCCACCAGAAGAGTTCTTCCAAAGCTCAAGATAGTTAAGCACAATATGAACATCATCACAAATGCACTTACCTTTACACAATTTCATCACAGCCTGGAAACCTAAAACATATTCTGGCAATCTATACAACTGCTAGGATAGATCAGATTGAGATGGAATTACTAGAAAGGAAATTGCTCGATAAGAAATTTTCCATTCTACTATATAGCACATCGCATAGCAAGTGGAATGTAACAGTGTATCATGTAAGTGAGGAGGGAAGGAGTAAAGCAGAATTATTAATTTTGTTTACATTAAAGGTAGAATAAAAAGATATAAATTCCTTCATAAAACACTTTTTAAAGTTAAGCAATTATTTGGTAACCAAACGGATGCCTCCGCAAAAGAAGAGAAACCTCCTTTGTAGAGTTCAATACATGTATGAATGAATACCATGATCCATGCTCTCCACATTTCCTGTTCATTGTCCCCTAGAAGCCTTGTAGAGTGAGTCTTGATTCCCCTCAGAGAATGACTTCCCAGAAGCACAGTCATATAGTTTAAGGCCAGAAGGGACCACCAGATCATCCAGAGTATTCCAAGTGAAGCAGGATTTAATTATCTTGGGAAGGGCCATTTTGAGGCTATGAGGCCCTGGTGTTTTGGATGGAATGAGAAAAACATGACCAATACGTATACGAAGAGGAGTTGTCAAGCATTTGAACCTGGAACCTCTTGTACATAAAGTGAGAATCAGACTTGTAGACCAAGCAAGCTACTTGGAAGCAACCAAGCTATTTGGTTTCCACCAAGCAGATCATCTTTACCAATGACAGGTCTAATTCTTGGTCTTTAGATTGTCACTCCATGGTATTGTTCTTCTTGAAAGATATGAGGCTTTTAATCAGGCCTTGAATTAGGGGCTTGCAGAGGAACACTGCTATTTCCTTGCTGGTCAAAGCATGCAAGAAAGAGAGAGAAGTGGTCATATGAAGATCTAGGAAAGACAACTTTTTTGGCATCAGGAGTGGACTGCACTTGGTAGAGTACCACCACTTAGGGCTGGTCTGAATGCACTTTTTGTACTGATGTAACTATATTGGACTGCAACAATTAAATCAGTACAAAAACTGTGCATAGACTCTTTGATATACTTAAATCAGTTGAACCCCCCTATTGTAGATGTAGTTATACCAATATAAAATATTTAAATTTCAGTACATTTACTGAAATAAGCTATATCAATAAGCACTTTTCTATTGCTATTGCTGTTTCCATTAAAGGTTGCAACTATTTCAATTTCTAACCAATACAGTTAAATTCTGTAGATAAGCCTTACATTTACCTCACAGTCTGACCTGTGGTTCTAACAAGTCAGAAGGCAAAAGCAGGGGCCCAGGAAATAATCTGAGCATTACCAATGGATAGCCAATCCTGCAGAGCCCAGCAGGGCATCCAAGTCCCACCAAGGAGAAGTCAAGCAAGGGGATCCAGTAAAGCCCTGCAAGGTACTTGGTAAGGGTGAGCTAAGCCCAAAGAGATCAGCAGGTAATCTGAGTTTCTCCGAGAGGAAGATGAGCCCAGCAGTGGCCACCTAATAATATTTTGAACATCTGCATGATCTAAGTGGTATTTCACTTTGGAGTCTTAAATGGACAGAACTCAGAAGAATACCACTCCACCTTGGTCAAGTTGATCTCTGTTGCTAATGATGCCTGATTAGCTGCTTACAAAGCTTGGAAAACTGTACAGACTGCCCTTAGTCTCATGGACTATGGGATCTTTTGGGCATAAGTCCCCTTCTAAAAGGGTGACTATGTCTTTCATCTTTGGGGCAACTGCTGTACCACCCTTTGGTACCAGCGATGGTTCCTGTAATTTATGAGATTTCCCTGTGGTTTAACTTAACATTTTAGTGTTATTTGCCATTCCAATACACATCGCATGAGGTCCACTAAGGAAGAGAGTAGGAGAAGCCCAGCTTTTAATTCTGTTTGGAGGACAGATATTTTCCCTTAGTTTGGGGACCTTCTTCCTCTGTTTTGCCTCATCAGCCTTGCAGCTATATTATAAAAACATGCAAAGGAAGGAAAGTATGTGGCTCTGTTGGCCTTGACTGAGCCTGGGTGCTTCTCTGCTGCTGTGTACTCTCCTCTTTAGTGGAGGGCAGAGAGAGCCTAGCAGAGGTACTGAACTGGAGGACCCAGAGGGTTGAAGCCTCAATGCACAGGCAATCCCACAATGGAGAAGAGGGAAAGAGGAAGACTAGAAGTTGAAATGGGATCATTACTGCCTGAAAATTGAATAAAAATAAAATGTATAAAGCAAACTGGTTGATTTCTTCCAAACTACTAACTTGTTCCACTGCTGCAGGGAGAACTTAAAGTGGTGGAAAGTGTGGTGGGTCTCAGGGCCAGAGCTCCCAACAACACATGACCACCTCAAAACTCTACAGGGAAGAGGCACTATCATTTCTTAATGATTGTGCAGGAATTCTAGGATGCATATTTCATCACAACACAACAATCCGATCCTACATAAATATTATTCTTACATTAGTGATCTCAAGATTTAAACATGACATCCTTTTGGAAGAGCAATGTACAAAATTCATTTAAGTTCACATTACATACACATATTGTTCAACCCCCAAATACAAGTGCACATGCATAGTTTTACTATAAAAATCGATATTATACAGTTTTTCCTATTACAATAAATATATTACGCCATCCCACAGCAATTATAGGTAATTCAACAAAAAACCTCAACAACTTTCAATTGGTATTTTCTGTTTAAGAGTATTCTTTGAAAGAACATATTTAGACATCAAAATCAAGATAATATACAAAAACACTGCTGTCACCACTCACAGATAAGATTGTCGTATTGTGATGAAAATATGTCTCTCTTTATATTTGATAAGAGCATCTATATTATATAGACATTGGCCTATTTGGCAGCCTGATATTTAGTACACTAAAGTCCTGATCCAAGCAGTCCCACGGACATCAGTCAGTACCTAAGTACCTTGATGAAGTGGGAAAGACTGAGCACATTGTGGTTAACCCTACTGTCAATTCAAAGAATATGGCTGATTGGTTCTGGCAGAGGACACTTTACCAGATGGAAGTAAAGTAATGGGGAAGTAGGGTGGAAAGGGAAAGCATATAAAATTATATTCTAGGGTAAATCCTCACAAAATGTGAAATTTAGGTTTAGATTTGTAGATTTCCATGTGCAACTCATCAGGATTACCACTTAGTACTATTCTGTAATTTCCCTTGTATTTTTTAAAATCTCTCCTAAAACACTCACCTTGCCAAGCAAACAAAATGCTGCATTTTTATAAATTAATTATGCACATTTTTTCTGTTCAAATGAAATTGGACCTACCTTTATGTGCAAGAAGTTTGCATTTTTGTAAAATATATCAACTCTCATAGGTCAATTTATTTAGAATTAGAAATGTCATTGAGAATAAAAGATTTATGGATTTCTTAATTAACAGAACAACTTTAGCTAAATATAAACTCTGCACTAAAGTTTTGCAGTGGCATAATACCATCACAATACAGAAGTATTTTTTTAAACTATACAAAATTCCAAAATTGAAAATAATGTTTACATTTTCTTTATACATTAACATATAAAAGACCTCATTTCATGAGGCATCCAAAAGAATCAAAACATCTCTACAGCTATCTCTGAAAATTCAAATCTGGAAACAATTTATTACACTGAAGCTTTACAAGACTATTAAACAAACAATCCAATAACCACTTTTTACAAGATTAACATTCCAAAATACACTTGGAGGCATTTTTTAAAAACAGTTCACAACACTGGTTATCTCATTTGTTATCAAAATCTTTTTATTTATATATGTTGGATATTGTTGAATAACCAGTTATCTAAGTTGAAATTTGTGCAAACAATAAAAAATGGAAAACCAATATGTTATCAGTCATTTGTATAAAATATCAATTACAGGACCTTTTGCCCTGTATGGAGGGAAAAAGCCATAGGATACATGTTCCTGGGAATTTAGCAGTTATGTTTTTCTATTCCTTCATTACACTCCTTATATAAGTTATGATAAATTAAACATTCCAAAAAGGTATTAACTGATTTATAGAGCAGCCAGTATCCAAGTGTACAATATCGATCTATTCACTTTCATCTATTTTCTGTCCATATTCTGCTGCTGTTTCGTAAGGTCAGGAATACACATACTGCTTCACCACACTGTAGACTAAAGTCTGAGATGGTGACTCACAGGTACTAGAACTGTAGCTTTCAAGAACAAAGGACTGCCATACAGCCACTGATTTGTACCATTTCCTCTTCATTGTCTTCAACACATCAGTAAAGTCATCTGCATGAGTTGGGTAGAATTTACCCAAAACTTTAAAAAATAAAGTTGATATATTCTTAGTTGAAATTGTATGAAAGCATATTCGTATACTTTCAGTTTAAAATAAAAAATGTAGTTACTAATAGAAGTTAGCTCTTAGCAAAACTACTGTATGTATATAACAAATGGCAAAATCTAATGTACGCAGGCCAGTAATGCTGGTTTCTTAAGAAGCAGTACAGTTTACCTAAAATGGCCTTTTTAGAGGTTCTCTTTTCCCTTATCTCCCCGAAGTTAGGATATTTGGTGAAGCCTATGTAAAGGAAGAGGATTTCACAGAATTACATGCTGTACACTTGAAATAGACATCCTTTTCAGTCTCTGTTGGTGTTATTGGCTGCAAAGGCATGTAAATTTCCCATCTGGCTCAGGCCACTCTGAATATGTGCAACATGGATCTCAACATTATTCTGAAAACAACTAAAGAAAAGAAAGAATGGTTAAATCTCACATTTTAAGACTCAATTTATTAACTTATCACACCTGAACATGACTATAATGAACACCAACTGTCTTCAAGCCAAGGTATGAAATAGGAAGTAGTAAAAGTTTAGAAGGGCCAACATGCCAGACAGCAATATATCTTTATCAAATTCTGTTACTGGTAAGGGGGGGGGGGGGGAAGGGGTATAGCTCAGTGGTTTGAGCATTGGCCTGCTAAACCCAGGGTTGCAAGTTCAATTCTTGAAGGGGCCATTTAGGAATCTGGGGCAAAAATCTGTCTGGGGATTGGTCCTGCTTTGAGCAGGGGATTGGACTAGATGACCTCCTGAGGTCCCTTTCAACCCTGATAGTCTATGATTCTATAAAAAGAGCAAAAAACATTCTGGGCTACAGCCCTATGAAGCCAGTAGGAAGGTTCCTATACCTACATGCCAGTGTATAGGTTTTGCATGATTGAAGTTCATGGAAATATATGACTATAGTGGTCTCCGATCAACTATATAAAAGGAAAGCTTCGAATTATTTAAATCCACTGCAATGTTTGATTTGTAATTCTGCTTATAGTGAAGTTTAGTTAAGAGTGGAGTTTTTCCAAAGGAGAAAAAACTACTATAATAAAAGGATGCCACCACTGTAGTGTTCTATGCTTTAGAAAATTTAGAATACATTTAGTGGAAAAAAGTGATGATTTTTCTTTTAATATTTAAATTAGGGATGTCAATTAATTGCAGTTAACTCATGCGATTAACTCAACAAAATTAACTGCAATTAAAAAAAATTAATCGCATTGTTAAACAATAGAATACCAATTTAAATGTATTATTTTTTTTGATGTTTTTCTACATTTTCAAATATATTAATTTCTATTACAACACAGAATACAAAGTATACAGTACTCACTTTATATTATTTTGATTACAAATATTTGCACTGTAAAAATTATAAAAAGTATTTTTGAATTCACCTCAGACAAGTACTGTAGTGCAATCTCTTTGTCGTGAAAATGTTACTTACAAATGTAGATTTTTTTTTTGTTACCTAACTGCACTCAAAAACAAAACAATGTAAAAAACTTTAGAGCCTACAAGTCCATTCAGTCCTACTTCTTGTTCAGCCAATTGCCAAGATAAACAAGTTTGTTTACATTTATGGGAGATACTGCTGACTGCTTCTTATTTACAATATCACCCTGAAAGTGAGAACAGGCGTTCGCATGGCACTTTTGTAGCCAGCGTTGCAAGGTATTTACGTGCCATATATGCTCAACATTCACATGCCCCTTCATGCTTCAGCCACCATTCCAGAGGACATGCTTCCATGCTGATGATGCTCGTTAAAAAAATAGTGCCTTAATTAATTTTGTGACTGAACTCCTTGGGGGAAAATTGTATGTCTTCTGTTCGGTTTTATCTGCATTCTACCATATATTTCATGTTATAGCAGTCTCGGATGATGACCTAGGAGATTTGACAAAATGCAAAGAAGGTACCAATGTGAGATTTCTAAGGATAGATACAGCACTCGACCCAAGGTTTAAGTATCTGAAGTGCTTTCCAAAATCTAAGATGGACGAGGTGTGGAGAATCCTTTCCGATGCGGAAACTACAGAACCCAAACCACCAAAAAAGAAAATCAACCTTCTGCTGGTGGCATCTGACTCAGATGATGACAATGAACATGCATCAGTCAGCTCTGCTTTGGATCGTTATCAAGCAGAACCTGTCATCAGTATGGAAGCACATATTCTAGAATGATGGATGAAGCATGAAGGGACATATGAATCTTTAGCGCATCTGGCACGTAAATATCTTGCGATGCTGACTACAACAGTGCCATGCGAACGCCTGTTCTCACTTTCAGGTGACATTGTAAACATGAAGTGGGCAGCATTATCTCCTGCAAATTGTAACCAAACTTGAGTGATTGGCTGAAGTAGGACTGAGTGGACTTGTAGATTCTAAAGTTTTACATTGTTTTATTTTTGAATGCAGTTATTTTTTGTACATAATTCGACATTTGTAAGTTGAACTTTCATGATAAAGAGATTGCACTACAGTACTTGTATTAGATGAATTGAAATATACTATTTCTTTTGTTTTTTACATTGCAAATATTTGTAATAAAAAATAAATGTAAAGTGAGTACTGTACACGTTGTATTCTGTGTTGTAATTGAAATCAATACATCTGAAAATGTAGAAAACATCCAAAATATTTAAATGGTATTCTATTATTAACAGTGTGATTAATCATGTGATTAATCACACGATTAATTTTTTTTAATCGCTTGACAGCCCTAATTTAAATCCTCTTTAAAAACAATTACATACATCAATAATTACTTGTTCAAATTAAAGATACATTTTGAAAGACTGAATGGCAAAGGAGAGTCTAGTTTATATTGGATTAATTTCAAAACATTTTTAATATTTTTATAGATAGTGAAGTTAGGTAGCCTTTTTCAATAGGACTATTCTTATAAGAACTGCAGAATTAGACTCAATTGTATAAATACAGAAACATTTCACCTCTGAAGTGTGTTAAGAATAGCTAATCATGAAAGATGCATGTAGGGGGGAAAAAATGTATGTATCATTATTAAAAGTTAATACCTGATATTGGAAGAATCTATTGAATTCTTGATGTCATTTAATGAATCTGTTAGTGATTTAAATTCAAAGGAATTCAGGTCACCTCCTTCTGCTAGACACTAGAGGAAATTAAGAAACAAATTTAGAATTTAATCTACAATTCTACTACATAATTGTAATTTCTATTCAAATACAATTCATGTTTTGACTTAGTTCAAGAGAGAAATTTGACTGATGCCTATGGGTTGCCAAGGCTTTAAATTTTTGTGTATTATGTGAGAAGAAACATTAGAAATTTTTCGTAAACAATTTACCTTAATCTGCAGTAATATTGCTGTAAGTCTAGAGATCAGATCCGTCAGGTTTTCATTTTCCACACAAAGATGTCCTGTTGTTGATGCATTTGCTTGTCTAACTATCTCCTGAGCTTCTTCTTCACAACGGCGCCTCAGATCTGTTGGCTGGTCTGCAGGCTGGAGGCCTTGGTCTGGAGCAAGCTACACAGATATAATTAAAAGTAAAGTTTAAAGGTCTGATTCTACAGCTGTTGTGTGTGAGAACTGGTAATCAACTTTAAAGGGAGTTTCGTAAATGAAGAGCCTGCAAAAATAACCAGGCCCTCATACTTTAAACCAAAACTGTCCATTGAAATCAATGAGAGTTACTGATATTCGGGAAGAGAGAGGTGAAAGCATATATGACCCCAGTTACTTAAAGTTTGGCATTTGTCTCAAAATGGTCTTTTTCTATATATGAAATTTCAGTTGACTTATTAATATGTTAAACACAACACCAAATAAACTAAGAGGTTAGCAACATATTACCTCATAACAGTACTGTTGAACCTTATGCAAAACTTTGTTTAGGTCCTTATTCAGTTGTTCTAGATCTAGAACAATAGTTGCATATCTTCTCTGAAACTCAATACTGATTGGCATAGAATAGGATTTCTGTGGAGAAGACAATAAAGCATATGAAGTTTATAAATCACAAACACTACACATCTGTATTTACTAAAGATGCACTTTACTGTGTAGATGCTTCCCTTAAATGAATAGTATCACCTTTATCTTGTCCTTCTTGTGAAAGTAGAAGAATTTATACACCAATCCTTTTCACCCAGATTTGTTCTACTATTTCTCCAAAATACAAATAACTTAGGTCAGTGGTTTTCAACCTTCTTTCATTTGCGGACCCCTAAAAGAGTTTCAAATGGAGGTATGGACCCCTTTGGAGATGTCAGGCACAGCCTGAAGACCCCCAAGGGTCAACAGACGACAGGTTGAAAATTACTGTTCTATGGTAACAGTAACCTTTCGCGGACCGCTTAGACAGTCTGCGGACCACAGGTTGAAAACCATTACTTAGCTAAATGAATTTAATTGGCTTATGTATTGTTTAGATAACAGTGGCAAAAAAAAAATTTTTTTTCCCCCCCCACACACAATCCTCAAATAGGAATACTATACTGAAGACAAAACCTCTAAAGAACACTAACTGTTCCCTTCAAAAAAAATGAAACTAAAAATTTACAATTGTGTGTATTAGTAACCCCTGTTAAGGAACCCTCTGCATTGTGTCATTTAGAAACTAGTATTATTGCCAGACACTAATGTACTAATTTAGGACCTGCTTTGAGTTTGGTTAAGCAGTTCCACTTACTATATATTAAACTGGTCACTAATTTATAACATGGTCACAAAAGGATTCCCCTTTAACCAAAACCAACCATGTCATTCTGTTTCACTTTAACCAAAAATTATTATATCAAAATTAGCTAATTGATAAAGTCTTTAAAGAATTCACAAAAGTATTTAAATCTGTATATTATTTTGGTCATGTTCAAGAGTGGCAAGTGTCTGAGAAAAGATTTTTGATTAAATGAAATACATTTTAAAGGCAGAAACTGACTGAAGACAGGCTAAGAATGTAACCCATTGGAAAGGTATCACCTCCTGTGGTTTTATCAGAATAGCCATGAACTTTCACAAAAGTTACTGTATGAGAGGCTTATTTGCAAAGTAATGAATAACAGAGGAGGTTCAAAATATCTCGTATCCCTATCTAGGCTAAACAGACCTAAATATACCAAATTGAATATATATCCTTGTTCCCCCTTCCCTCCTGCTGCTTCTTTGTTTGTCCCAATATTCTTTATTTTCCTTCTGATGCCTCATTTTTTCTTTCCTCATTAAGTTTAATTTATGATTTAGTATTTAAGTTATGTTCATATTTTAAGGCAGTCACCTTCTTGTAATGAGAGAAGGCTTTTATAGTTTATTTTTGTACAAGTGTCATACTTAGACTTTTAGTTACATTTTTAAAACAAACTTTAAAAAGCGGTATATTTTTCAGCATTAGATTTAAAAATTGTGACAAACTTTATATGTAAAGTATTTTAATCCTTTTTTGCTATAGCTGCATAGATTTTAATGATTCAACTGTACAGCAGAAACAATTTTCTTTAAAAAAAATTAAGAGAAACACAGTTAATGCACAGGAGAGTGAAATAATAATGCCAGCATTGAAGGATGGGATGTGGGTATGGGTTAGGAGAAGGGAATGGTGGACACAGGAATGGGGAAGCGGAGAATGGAGAGAGAGTGAGCATACTTGTGCACACAGGTGGCCATGGGCAGGAGGGGGGCAGAGAGAAGAAATCTTTTATCCATATTAAAAACCTTAAATGCTTTGTGCAAAATTTTAAGCACTTAGGTCTGGGTCCCCAAAGGGACTTAGGCGTTACAATGCTGAGCACTGCAATGCTTAACTTTTAGGCACCTAGCTAATCATAGGTGTCTAGGTTCCCTACACAATGCAACTGGAGTGATAGGTGGCCTAGAATGTGGTTTACAAAAGCCAGCATGCTAGGTGGGGAGCTGCCTAAGCTAGCAAATGAGAGATGCTGATGAGAATGGTGCAACCTCAGCCCCTCTGCGTACCTCATATGCTGGGCCTGATCTGTAAGGCGTGCTCAGAGGCTGCTTAGATTTACACAAAACAGCTGAAGGACGCCCTCCTACAGGGCAACATATAGGGTATTCACCTAGAACGTAAGAGAGCACTAGTTCAAGTCCACACTCTGCCTCATGAAGAGAAGGGATCTGAACAGGGATCTGCCACCATTCAGGCAAGGGCCCTAACCACTGGACTATAGAGCTATTCTCACTTGCTCTCTGTCCCAGTCAATATCTAATTATTCAGCTAGAATGAAACCACTTCAACAGGCAAGATTGAGATAGCCCCACATCAGGCTATTCCACAGTCCAGTCGTTAGAACACTCCCCTGAGAGGTTGTAGATAGTTGTTCAAATCTCTTCTCCATCAGGCAATGGGGTGACCTAAGCCAGTGGTCTCTCACATCACATGTGAGTACCCTGACCACTAGGTTAAAGCTTATATGGGAGCTACTGCTCCTCTTCCAGATCACCATTTTGTGTGGAGTTAGGCAGCTTCTGTAAGCTCAGGAAGTTGTATTTAAAGATAAACACATTTTGAAAATTTGGACTTTAGTGATTTGCATAAAGTCATACCCCAGACCTGTGCTTTAACCACAAGATAATCCATTCCTCACTGATTATTAGTACTACTGTCTCTGTTTGTATGAAGATTATTTTTCATTGTAGCAGATACCTATAAAACAGGATATCAAAACCCATTCAAGAACAGAAAAAATAACATGTTTTTACCAGCTTTTCTGCTTCTGTGTTCATCTCCCTTAACTGCTTGATGTGCTCCTTCTTAATCATAAGGATTTTTGATAACCTGGTCTATAGACAAAGAGAGGAAATATTTTTTTAGGACAAATCTTTAAACAGTTTTAAAATGAATGATAAAATTATTGAAAAATATCAGACACCTTTTGCTAAAAGTGTAAAGATATTTCTCAGACTGATATATAAATATTTATATATTTATAAATTAAATATATAAATTAAATATTTTTTTCCCCTCACGGAAATTATAAACAATACTTTCAGGGAGCCTTACCTGAATGAAGCCAAAGCACAATGGTTGAAATTCTCTACACAAAGACTGAGTAAATAGGATCTGTGGACATATTTTGAGGATGAAGGGAACAGAATCCTCCCCTCCCTACAGCCTGAAGATATAACATAGGACTTTTACACAGCAAGGCTGTGGATGTAATTATCATGGGCTACAGTAGAGATCAGCTGTTTTGCCATTGCCTTCCCCATAAGGTTTTCACCCTGTTGATGGACTCACTTGTCATGTCCCAGACTGGTCACAAACCCATTGTGTGCACTCCTGCAACAAGAGCTGAAACACAACATGGGTTTGCAGCAAACAAGAGGGCTCTGGAGGTTTTCCACTTCTTGGGCTCTTCCTTCAAAACAGAAATTATCTGTATCTGCTGCATTTGGGGTGTAATGTGCCCACAGAAGGGGCTGCTAGATTTTGTCCAACATGCATCTAACTACTAGAAGTTTGGATGTCAGCTAGGACCCATGGGTGTAATCCTAGTGCCACTGCAGTCAACAGGAATTAAGCCATTGATTTCAATAGGGACAGAATTTCCTCCTGTATGATGAAGGTACCTATACTGGAATTCTGTGCAGTTGGGAACAAGGTACACCAGAATTTTCTCAGAGATATATTATAATTGAGGACTAAATGAAAGTTAGTACTAAACAGTTTATTATAGAAACTGGCTACTTTCAGTTCCTAATCTTGTAGTCCTTTTATGCAGGCAGAACTACCACTGAAATTAAGGAAAGGAACACAGGAACAGGCTGAATTAGTGTATGTTTCTTTGAGTTAGCAATTTATACTTGAATTTGAGTTACTACAGAACATTTATAGGGACACCGAAGTACTTTTAGTGTTTAAATATTTTACTCTATATTGTTTGCAATATCTTCTAAGAAGTTTGAAAAACATCCATTTTTTCCCTACCAATTTTGTATTTTCCTATTTGTTTTACACATCCTGCCCCTGACCCCGCTCCCCCCACATTTAAACTAGAATTTAGATTTATTTCCTTGTATTTAATTTACACCAGTGAGGAAAACATGCACAGTTCTGGGAAAATACTACGTTAGTTAACATGCTCCCTCTACTGGACATGCAGGAGCACAGTAAAAATAAATAAATAAAAGAGAAAAAAGAAAAGAAAAGAAGTCATTTCTGTCTACATTCTGTTTTTATTATATCTTAATTTTTAACTCTTCCTCAAAAAAAGAAGTATACTGCTAATCATTTGGAAAACTAGGTTCTAACACGGCTGACAAACTGGGACCCGTTGCAAAGGGAATCCCATCCATCAGTTTTGAACGGAAATGTAATATATTTTAAATTGAATCCAGTATCCCCAGAAACATTTAATCTTGTATATGAGGATAAAATATTTTCATGATTTCTGTCAGTATTCCATTTAGATTGGATGTAAATATTAATGTACAAGAGATGGCCAACTGATATAGCAAATTCCTTTTGGAGCTGTCATTTCTCTAATATGCATAACTTTGTCCATAATAAAAGAGAATGTTACTCACCCTGTGCAGTAACTGAGGTTCTTCGAGATGGTTGTCCCTGTGGGTGCTCCACTTTAGGTGTCTTGGCGCCCTGTGCTTATAATCGGAGATTTGTAGCAGCAGTGCCCCAGTTGGCCGCGCATGCGAGGCAGCCATCTCCTGCCAATCTGAGCGGCTACCTCGCATGCGCAGCCAACCGACCCCCAGTTCCTTCTCTAGCCCAGAGGATCAGCGTGAAACTCCGAAGTAGAGGGGAGAAGGGGAGGTAGTGGAGCACCCACAGGGACAACCATCTTGAAGAACCTCAGTTACTGCACAGGGTGAGTAACCTTCTCTTCTTTGAGGAGTGTCCCTGTGGGTGCTCCACTTTAGGTGACTATGGAGCAGTACCCCTTAGTGGAAAGAGGGGCTTCGGAGTATCTTTGTTGACGGTAGATAGCACTGAGAGTCCGAACGGAGTGTCGGCAGAGGAATGTTGTTCCAGGGCATAGTGTTTGGTAAACGTGTGGGCTGAGGCCCAGGTAGCTGCCCTGAAAATGTCTACAATGGGTACATTATTGAGAAATGCTACTGACGTGGCTAGCCCTCTGGTGGAGTGCGTATGAATCCCAGCTAGTCTTGGGATGTTGCTCTGATGATAGCTGTCATAAACATACAGCTAACGATAGCATAAAATCCCTCCTTTACTTGTAAAGGGTTAAGAAGCTCAAATAACCTGGTTGGCACTTGAACAAAAGGACCAATGAGGGGAGAAGATACTTTCAAATCTGTGGGGGAAGGTGTTTGTTTTGTCTCTCTTTGTGTTCTCCTCTCCGGGTCAGCGAGTAATCAGGGCAGGGAAAATACATCTCCCAAAGCCATATCTGAACTAAGCATCTAAGATTACAAATTGTAAGTAATAGGAAGGAAATGCATTAGATTATCTTTTGTTGTAGCTTGTGAATTTTCCCTATGCTAAGAGGAAAGTTTATTCCTGTTTTTTTGTAACTTTAAAGTTTTGCCTAGATAGGAATCCTCTGTGTTATAAATCTTATTACCCTGTAAAATTACCTTCCATCCTGATTTTACAGAGGTGCTTCTTTTAGTTTTTTCTTTATTATAAAGTTCTGCTTTTAAGAACCTGATTGGTTTTTAGTGTCCTAAAAACCCAAGGGCTGCTCTGTGCCCACTTTGTTAACCTATTTGGTTGGTATATTATTCTCAAGCCTCCCCAGGAAAGGGGGTGAAAGGGCTTGGGGGGATTTTGGGGGAACAGGAACTCCAAGTGGGTTCTTTTCCTTGAATCTTTATCTAACACACTTGGTGGTGGCAGCAGTACTCCAAGGACAAGGAAGGATGTGTGCCTTGGGGAAGTTTTTAACCTAAGCTGGTAGAAATAAGCTTAGGGGGGGGTCTTTCATGCGGGTCCCCACATCTGTACCCCAGAGTTCAGAGTGGGGACAGAACCCTGATAATTGCAGAGGTGGATACAGCCAGAAATCCACTTCGATAGTCTTTGTTTGTAGATGACCTCACCCTTCGATCACTCTGTGACTGATAGAGACATGACGATTTTCTAAATGTCTTTGTTCTTTCTAGGTAGAAGGCCAGAGCTCTATGGACGTTGAGAGTATGGAGGGATGCCTCCCTGGCATTGGTGTGAGGTTTCGGAAAAAAAAACACAAGTAAATGGGTTGGTTTAAATGAAATGAGGAGGCTACTTTAGGTATAAATTTAGGGTGGGCTCTTAGGATCACTATCTTTATGGAATGTGGTATACAGAGGGTGTGCCATTAGGGCCCCTAGCTCCCCTACTCTTCTTGCTCAAGTGATCGCGATAAGGAAGGAGACCTTCATCGATAAATGTAGCAATGAGCAAGTCACAAGGGGTTGCCCATGAGGGTGCATAGCACGAGGTTATGGTCCCATATAAGAGTAGGGTGTTTTAGGGGAGGGTAGATGTTGGTCATGCCCTTTAAGAATCGTTTAGTTGTTGGATGAGCAAAGATCGTGGTTCCATCTACCTTATCATGTAGTGAGGTGATCACGGCTAAGTGTACCTTTATGGAGTTATTGGAGAGGCCCGCCTTTTTAAGGCATAATATATAGTCCAGGACTCTGGGTAGAGGGGCAGAATGAGGAAACATATGGTGAGCCTTGCACCAGGGTCAGAAACTTACCCACTTATGAGCATATGTTTTGCGTGTGCTCGGTTTGCGACTTTTCAAGAGAATGTCTTTAACCTCTTCAGAGTAATCCTGATCCAGCCCCGTTAGCCATGGAGTAACCAGGCCTTGAGGCGGAGAACTACTAGGTTGGGGTGAATGACACGGCCGGCATCCTCTGTCAGGTGGTGAGGAAGTTGAGAAGGGTTCGAGAAGGTTTCACTGCCATCTGTATTAGGTATGGGAACCACGTCTGTCTGGGCCATGTGGGTGCAATAGAGTATGACCCTAGCCTTGTCCTGTCTGATTTTGTGTAAAACCCCGCTCAATAGAGGAATTGGGGGGTTGGAGGGGAGGGACACGTACATTAGAGGTGCTTCCCATCGACCAGTGAGTGGTGCCCGAGCCCTGCTCGGGAGCAATATTGAGGGCATTTTGTATTGAGAGTTGTTGCGAATGAATCTACAGTAGGGAACCCCCACTGGTTGAATATGGGGGTTCGGTTGACTACTCAAAGGTCGGGTAGTCCATCTCCCACCCGTGGGTTTGTGAAAAAAAAGTCTCTGCTCAGATGGTCTGCTGTGGTGTTCTGAAGTCCTGGCAGGTAAGCTGCAGAAATGTCTATCTTGTTGAATATGCACCATTGCCATAGGAGTATTGCCTCAATGCAGAGAGGGTATGATCAAGCTTCGCCCTGTCCGTTTTGTCCATGAGGACTTTGATGGAATTGTTGTGGATAAGGGGAAGGAAGTGTTTGCATGCTTTTGTAACTGCAAATCTAAGAGCTCCGGCTCGAGAATGTTTATGTGTAGGTTGATTTCTGCTGGGGTCCAGCGTCCTGGATGGTGGTGTTGTCCAGATGGGCTCCCCATCCCACGAGGGAGGCATCTGTGGTGATTGTTATAGTGGGAGCTTTTTGTTGAAATGGGACCCTGAGCAGATGTTTTGCGGTTGCATCCAACACTTGAGGGAATCCTTCACTCTGCGGGGCATAGTGAGCCATTTGTAGAGGGAATGCTTGTGTGGTATATAGCAGGTATGGAGCCAGACCTGTAGGCATCTCATATGCAGTCTGGCATGTTTGACTGCACAAGTTGTAGCAGCCATATGTTTAAGGAATTATAGGCAGGT